TTTTTTAATATATATTTTCATAGACATTTGTACATACACATACACTAACATACATTGCTGGTTTTTTTAATATATATTTTTAATACCTATTTATACACGCAGACTAACAAACACTGCTGGTTATACACACACTCCAACAGACGCTGCTGGTTTTTTAATATATATTTTTATATATCTTTATACACACACACACACTAACAGACACTGCTGGGTTGTTTTTTTTAATATATATATATATTTATACACACTCACACACACACTAACTAACACCTGGGTGGGTTTGGTTTTTTTTTTAATATATTTCTATACGCACGCTCACACACAAACACACACTGCTTTTTTAATCATCTCTCTTTACCCACACTCAGACACAAACGGGCCCGGCTGGGTTGTTACACAGGCAGAGCCCCCGTCTGTGCCCGCACACCCTACCGGGCACCCCGGGCTGGCTTAGTGTGCGCGGCCACAGAGACACAGCGGGGGCTCTTGGGGGTGTATACTTTCTATAGGTGTTTGTGTATACACACACACACACAGTGTCCTTTAGTGTATTATATGTTATAAACTGCCGTGTCTGATAGAGAGAGAGTGTGTGTGTGTGTGTGTGTATAAAATATATATAAAAAAACCCAGCAGGGGGCATATAGATATAGATAGATAGATGATAGATAGATAGATAGATGATAGATAGGTAGGTAGATAGATAGATAAATAAACACACCCTCACACAGAAGCTAATAGATCCCTGTTTTTTTAACTCTATACCCCCCCCCGCAGCTAACACTGCTGGTTATACCCACACACACAGAGCCGCACACCCCACTGTTGATAGACACACAACACGCAGACACTGCTGGTAATGTCCACACACACGCACACACACACGCACACAGCTTTTTATAATATACACACACACTAAAGGACACTGCTCTGTGTGTGGATATATAGATATAGAGAGATAGATACAGTACATGTACCCCCCCCAACAGACGCTGCTGTTTATACTATATATATATTTATATATATATATATATACACACACTCTCTCTCTAAAGGACACTGCTCTGTGTGTGTACACACACACACACACACACACACACACACACTCTCGCTCTCTCTCTAAAGGACACTGCTTTGTGTGTGTGTGTGTGTGTGTGTGTGTGTGTGTGTATATAGTATATATCCCCCCAACAGACACTGCTGTTTATAATACACACACACACAAACACACGCACACTCTCTAAAGGACACTGCTCTGTGTGTTTGTGTGTGTATATACATATATACATATGTCTCTGTGTGTGTCTGTACATATATATATATATAAAAAGTATATGTCCCCCCAACAGACACTGCTGTTTATAATATATACACACACACTCTCTCTCTAAAGGACACTGCTCTGTGTGTGTGTGTGTCTGTGTCTGTGTCTGTGTGTCTGTGTGTCTGTGTGTGTGTGTGTGTCTGTGTGTGTGTGTGTGTCTGTGTCTCTGTGTGTGTGTGTCTGTGTGTCTCTGTGTCTCTGTGTGTGTGTGTCTGTGTGTCTCTGTGTCTCTGTGTGTGTGTGTCTGTGTGTCTCTGTGTCTCTGTGTGTCTGTGTGTCTGTGTATGTACACAGACTGAGACCAGTGTGGCCGTCTTTGAACAGTGGGCTCTGTTACTGTGTGTTGCGCGCGTGTGTGTGTGTGTGTGTGTAAAAGCACGGCCGTGCGTGTATATAAACAGCGTCAGTCTGTGCGTATAGATAAAAAAAATCAGTGTGTGTGTATATAAACAGTGGTGTCTGTTAGTGTGAGTGTGTGTGTGTATATATACACACACACATATATATATAAACAGCAGTGTGTGTGTGCACACACACCCAGGGAGGGTGTCTGTGTATGCCTGTATGTACATATGGGGTCTGCGTGTGCATACACGGGGGTGTGTATCTGTAGATACACATGGTGTTTGTTAGTGCCTGTCTGTGACTATATGTACATATGCACTGTTGTCTGTTGGGGTGTACGTATACATAAAACCTGCAGGGTCTCTGTGTGTGCAGACACACAAGGGTCGCCATCAGGAGCGTACACACACACACACGGGGTCCCGATGTGTGTGTGTACGTATATACACAGGCACCAATGTGTGTATGTATGTATATACATGGGTGTCGGTGGGTGTGTGTACGTATATACACA